CGTGTAACAAGACCACAAACCCGTACAACAACTTCAACGGTGATTCTCCAGATCATTGGAGGCACCACGTTCGGCCTTACCCAGTAGATCACCCATTTTTCGACATCTGGGGCACGTCCCTCGCGACCCTCGCTCTAGACGTCATGCATGCAATGGGCCTCGGAACGACAGCCCACAGCGTTGCCAACTTGTGGTATGATATAGTGTTCGAGTCAGAACACGGGCCTCGAGCTGGCAGGATCGAGCGCCTATGGCGCCGCATCCAGGCCCTTTACGTGGAAGAAGGCACCGAGCATCGCATGAATTCCTTCAAGCTCGGCCTCTTTGTATCTGACACGAACTCGCCTCATAAGGACTTTCCTGTTTTGTCAAAAGCCACTGAGGCCGCCCAGGTCCGTGGCCTGGTGAACGTGTGTCTGCGGCTGGCGCAAGATTATTGCGACGGGTCGGACCGCTCAAAGATTCGCGTGTTGATGTGGAAGTCGTTGCAAAAGGCGTATGAGGTGATAGATAGTGGTGGCATGTTTCTCACTGGTCCAGAGTGTCATAGGCTGATTAAAGCTGGTGACGACTTCCTCACGTGCTATCAGTACTTGTCGGACCAGGCGTTCAATGCCGTCCCCAGGCCGAAGTTGAAGTACTCGGTGGTGCACAAACACCACTTTCTGTTCCACTTAGTGAGGCAAACGCCACTGAATCCTAGATTCACGTGGTGCTACCAACCCGAGGACTTTCAGCGTTTCATTACGCGGGTTGGGAGTGGTTGCGCCATAGGGACTCCCATCAACCAGGTCAGTAGCAAAATTGCCGATAGGATTCGGTGCGGGAGGCATATAGCGGACTTCGTCCATGAAGCACCCGTACCTTGGAGGAGGAGGAGGAGGAGGAGGAGGAGGGGGAGGAGGAGGAGGAGGGGGAGTGGGAGGAGGAGGAGGAGGGATGGAGGAGGTGGACGAGGAGAAGGACGAGGACGATGACGAGGGCGAGGAGACGGAGGGCGAGGAAGGGCGCAGAGGGCGGAGGGGAGGCAGAAGAGCAGTGGGGGCGAAGAGAAGGGAAGAATGGGAGAGGACGACGGGGAAGGATGCAGAGTGGGAAGGGGACGGCCCCGACTTATTTCTTCTCTCTTTCCTATGTTCCGCCCGTTTCGCCCCTCGACCCCCGCGACGTCGGTTGTCTTCATCGTCGCCGCTTGTACCTATCATCCCGATCACTCCTTCCCTCCCTCACCTCTTCTCCCTCCCCAGCCTGTGCCCTATGTCCCTCCTCCCCACCCCTCCTCCTCCTCCTCCTCCTCCTCCTCCCCCTCCTCCTCCTCCTCCTCTTTCTCCTGCCCCCCTCATCCTTCTTGTCCTTTTGGGCGGTGTCTTTCATCAAGGGCATAAAAAACGCCCCTACCCTGGTTTACGAGGCGCTGTGCGCTGAAACTCCTGCGGGCTGACAAGGTAAACCCTGCGTGATGCGCCGCGTCCTGGCGGCTCTAGGCTTTGGGGGTTCCCAGGAGGTTTACAGGCCGCGCACTTGTAACCCAGAGTAGGGTTTGTTTTATCCCTCGTTGTCATGCGCCTGCCCACGCGTGGGCGTCGGATTTGGAGTTCACGAGGTGCTGCCTAGACTAGGCGCGCCAGGCGCCAGGCCCCCCCGCTGCGCAGTCTCCCCCCGCTCTGCAACCACCTGTCCCACGGGGGAACGACGGGGGCTATTTGTTCGAGGGGGGGGGGCGGGAAGGAGGGGGGCGGGGGCAGGAGGCGGAGGAGAAAGGGGGGGAGGAGGAAGGTGGGGGAGACGGAGGAGGAGGGGGGGAAGGAAGGGGGGGAGGAAAAAGAAGAGACAGGAATTTCGCCATTCTGCTCCCTCCTCCACCTCGCGATATCTCCCTTTCTTCGTAATTATCATCCTCGTCGTCGTCCTCTCCCTGCGAATCCTCTCCCCCCTTCGTCCCCTATACAGGCGTCCCAATGTGTCCATCCCCCGTGCCATCTCCTCCCCCTTGATCCCCTCCATCCCCTTGGCCTCCCCCTCGATCCCCTCCACCCCTGTCACCCCGCCGTCCACTCTCGTTCCCCTCCTTCTCCCGCGGGCTGCTGCGGCTGGAGGGCCCCGAGGAGGCTGCAGATCGGGCCCCGCGCGCGAAAAGGCGGCCCGAACGGCGCGGTCCTCCTCCCTCCGTCTACCTCCTCAACCTCCTCCCCAACCTCCTTCCTCTTCACTCTGCATCTCCTTCCTTCTCCGCCCCTGCGCCCTCCCTCATTCCTGCCACCTCCCCCTTTTCCCTTCCTTCCTCTTCCACGTCCCTCCCCCGCCCTTCTCCGCAGTACAGTCGAAGGTAATGGCCAACTTGAACGTATGAAGGTAAGTAAGTCGATGGTAAAGTCGATGGTAAGGTAAGTAAGTCGATGGTAAGGTACAGGTAATAGCCGCAGTAAGTCGATGGTAAGGTACAGTAAGCGTGTGAATATACGAACGCATCTAGATATGTACGCACCGTCATACGTGAGTTCAAAGCGAATGTAGCGGTCGGCAAGGATCGGTAACGGACGGTAGCGGAGGGTGCGTTTGTCAGTCTCAACACGCCGAATTCGTCAGGAAACCCGTTACCGACCGAGCCCGAAACAGGCACATCGGCCGCGACCGACCGCGACCGACCGAGCCCGAAATTTCGTCGGTAACGGTCGGTCTCGGTCGTTCCCGCTCGTTCCCCAAATTTTTCGGTAACGCATGATCTGGGCGAGGCGAGGAGGCTCGCCGCGGACACAGAAGGGGCGCGCGCGCCCTCCCTGCTCGGCCACGGGCATCTACGCAGCTGTCCTGGGTCGACGGCGAGCATGGCCGACACCGGCGCAGGTGCGCAACTGCCGCAGGGAACCGGCCACCAGAAAACTTGTGCAACCTAGACCTGAGACCCCAGGGCGCCCGGTGATCTTTGGCGTGGGAACGTCGCGCTTTCCATCGCAAAACCACCGAAACCCAAGAAACCTGGGGCGCCCTGGAGGCAAGCAGGGCGTTTCTCGGCATGGGTTTCCACTGCGCCGTGCTTCCGGAAGGGCGCCGAAGAAGGGGCACCGTGGCACATCCGCACGCGGCGAGGCCTCGGCCGCGAAAATGCAACGCGACCTGGATCTCAGGATCGACCCGAACCTGGCAGCTCCTCCTGAAGAACCCAGTGATGAGGCTGGCGCCTTGTGGGGCTGGCGCCCTGCGAAGCCCGCAGTCTGCGACGAACGAAGCAAGTGCGCGCTGTGCGGCCCACACGCAGCGACGGAGTCGACATAAGGACGAAGGGCAACGTAACGTCGTGGGTTGTCTTCAAAACGCGTCAGCGCATTCTCTGTCCTGTTTCGGCACAGCGGTGGCCAAAACAATACGCGGGGTGCCAATGAACCAACCTAGTGTCAGATACAGCACACCGGAAACCGCGAACGACGCACGCGAACATCGCGAGAACCCAGCGTGATATGCATGCGTATGTTCCAGATCAACTCGCCAACTCATCAACCGACTTGTCAACCGAGGACCGGAGAAAGAAAGGCGGCGCGGTCGCCTCGGCCGCAGCGCCTCCGCGCCCGCGCGCGCTGCGCGGGACCGTGGGGTCGCGAGCCCACCCTGGAGACATGGCGGGCCTCCACCTCCCTGCCACTGCCAGGGAAGAGTAGATGTGCGGGGCCGAAGCCCCGACTGCGATCTCAACCGCGGCGCGGTCGTTAAGCTGCAGGACGAAACAGCTTGCTGCTGTGTGGCGGCACCTTGCCGTCGGGCTAGCTCTGTCCAGCTTTCGGCGGCGACCCTGCTCGCAGGCGTCGTAATACCCTCTGGCCATTCGCAATGACCTCCTCTCGGCACTTTCGCCAATCGAGTCATACGCCCGTGACCGTCGTCATTATGAGATCCAACCAGCGCACAACCCCAGCACCACGAATGGCCATGGGCCACCGATCTACTCTGGCTGGTGTGGATCATCTTGCTCCTTATCTGGATCATCTCATTGTTAGGTAGGTGCACCGCATATCCATGGTCTGCTCGATATGTCTCGTACTGCCGCCCAGCGAAAACATTGCCTTTCATCCAGTCCACCACGCTGTACTTTCTTGGTGACCTCCAACACTCTTGGCAAACCCCTTGCCTACGCCTTCCCCTCATGACCGGATTATGCTCCAGTTGTTGTCGTCTCTCTTTGGCCACAGTCCTCGGTGCAGGCATCTTCCTATCATGCTTTGTGTGGTCTACGTCCTCGCAGATGTGATGTATGATGGCCGCTCATCTCCGCTGGGCCCGCATTTGCAGGGTCTCCGTCTCCATCAGTTTCCTGACCTCGTCGCGTAGATCTGCCATGCCTTCTTCTTCGCCTCGTTTGGCGAAAGTGTCGGCGAACTCATTCCCCAAACTGATCTCGAAGCTCTGGTCCCCAAACTGATCTCGAAGCTCTGGTCCGTCAGATTGATGGATTCGCTGCCCAAGTGGGAGAGATATTTGATGACCTCGACTCCCTGAACTCCACCTGGACGCTACTGCGGTACATGACCGATGCGCAGCCACCAACTCCTGTGTACCCTGGAGGGTTTTCATACCACTGTCGCGCGCATTAATTCATGACCTGCTGGCAACGAATATACATTACAAATGACGATCGGCGCCTTTGGTGAGGATCGGCGCCCAAAGGAGACCTGCGTGTTCAGCTGCTGGTACTGCTTGCTCTCCAGAAGGAGGAGGATGAGACGGCGGAGGAGGCGGAAGAAGAGGGAGGAGGAACAGAAGGAGGAGGAGAAGGAGGAGGAGGAGGAGGAGGAGGGGGAGGAGGAAGAGGAGGAGGAGGGGGAGGAGGAGGAGGAGGGAGGGGAGGAGGAGGAGGAGGAGGAGGAGGGAGGAGGAGGAGGAGGAGGAGGAGGAGGAGGAGGAGGGAGGAGGAGGAGGAGGAGGGAGGAGGAGGAGGAGGAGGAGGAGGAGGAGGAGAGGAGCGGGAGGAAGGAGGAGGAGGAGGAGAGGAGGAGAAGGAAAAGGCCCTTCGTTCCGCCCGCGGTCTCAGCCGCTGCCGCGGGCGCGCCCGGCGCGCGCCCCAGAGCCCCGCAGGCCCCCGCACAGAGGGCGGTGATGCCAGCCAGGCAGTGGCAGCAACTGCCCCGTGCGGCGGCGGCCACCACCGGCCTCGTGGGGGGGGGCTCCTCCGAACTCATCCTCGACCTCCCCTCCCCTCCCCCTCCTCCCCCTCCCCTCCTCCTCCTCCTCCTCCGCCTCCGCCTCTTCCTCCTCCTCCTCCTCTTCCTCCGCCTCCTCCTCCTCTTCCTCCTCCTACTACAACAGGGTATCAGAGCACAGATGCGACAATGCATGGGGCAACTCTCGGCCAGACCGAGAAGTGAGCCGAGCGGGAGAGGGGAGTATATAATCAAAACAGTAGAAAAAAACATTCCCCCAGCGACAATTTGGGGACACGGGACTCCCGACCCTCCCCCCGCTCCTCCTTTTGAATGGTCGTGTTGTCGTCTCCTCCCCCCTGGCTTGGGCGCACTGTTAAGCCCGCGCGTCCCCTCCCTTGTGGCACGCGGAAGGGCCAGCAGCCGCTCCCCTCGCACTGACCCGCAGGGACTCGTGAACATAAGGTGGCGAGCCTCTCTTACGGGGCCACCTCGGAGCTCAGTCCTTGAGCAACGTCGTATGCCCCCTGCCGGCCCTACCGAGAAAGCAGGGCTGTTGCACAATCGATCGCAGGGGATTTTGGCAGAAGTGCTCAAGACACCAGCGTAGGTGCTTTGACGTTGCACCCCCTTCTGCGGATGTCCTTGTCCTTGTGTTCCTCCTCCTCCTCCTCCTCCTCCTCCCTCCTCCATTTTCTCCTCCCCCTCCTCCTCTTCCTCCTCCTGCACCTCCTCCTCTTCCTCCTCCCTCCTCATCCTCTCTCTCTCCTCCATCCCTTTCCCTTATGCATGACTCCCCCCTGTCGGACCCCGAGGCCAGTCGGAAAGGCGGTCCGGGCGTTTGGCTGAGACTTCCTTGCGACGAATGAGCCTCAAGCTAAAAGCTGAAACAATGATTTAAGGTGAAGCGCGGGTCGCTTAAAAAATGTGGCTCTCGCCTTGCGCGCCGCGCGCATTCGCTTCAAGGAATTGCAAGAGTTCCGCGTGTTGAAGACAAGTAGTTTCCAACATGTGGCTCTCGTCGTATCGCCGCGCACATTCGTTTTACCAACATTGCAAGAGCTTCGCGGATTGAGGACATATTGTTTTCAGATTGTGGCTCTCCCCTTAGCGCCGCGCACATTCGTCAAACAATTGCAATCGCTTCACGGATTGAGGACAGGTTCGTTATCAACATGTGGCTCTCGCCTTAGCGCCGCGCGCACCTGTTTTGCAACGTACACAGAAGTTCTCATATTCTCATGGTTAACATACCAAGAATATTGTTTTGGGGCAATTCAGGATTATCCGCCGACCACTTGGGGATCATCGGCGTGTGAGATTCTTCCCCCTCCCCAAAGCCCTCCCCCGGGAGCCTGGTCCGGTCGATTTGGAGGGGGGGGGGGGGGGCCCGGCCGGATTCACCCGCGCGGCCGGGAGGGGGTCAACCGCTCCAGAGAGTCTGCTGGGGGGGCCGAAACGAGCCAAGAGGCTCCCAAGACGCTCCCAAGACGGTCCAAGAGGGCTCCGAGACGCTCAAGATGGCCTCCAGACGGCCCACGATGCCGCCAAGACGCTCCAAGAGGCTTCCAAGAGGCCTCCCAAGAGGGCTCCAAGAGGCCAAAATCGTTGATTTTCATTGGCTGTTTCGAGGTTTTTGGCCTTCTAGCTTTTTTGCGATTCCGACGCTCCAAGACGACGCAGGAGGCCCCCAAGACGGCCCAAAAACGACCGAAGAGGCCCCCAAGTGGGCCCCAAGACGGCTCAAGAGAGCGTCAGGACGGCCCAAGAGGGCCTCAAGACAGCCCAAGAGGGGCCCAAGACAGGCTCCAGACGGAGACCACGAACCTCAATTTCTACCTCTCCGGCCCAAAAGGCAACCAGGAGGCCCCAAGAGGCCCCCAAGAGGCCCCAAGAGGCCCCCATGAGGCCCCCTAGAAGCCCAAAAGAGACCCCAAGAGGCCCCCAAACAGCTCCCCAGAATCCTCCAAACTGCCTCTCGTAGGCCTCCGAGAGGATTTTCACGATGGCGCCCTTCCGTCGCCGCCCTCGTCTTTCGCGTCGTGTTTGCCTGCTGTTTTTCACCCTCGTCTGTCGCCCCGTCTTCCCCCCCCCTCAGCTTTCTGTCATCTTCCCTCCACCACCTCACCTTCCACTCTCTCCGCCTTTTGCTCCTCCCCCCGTCCTCCCAAGGGGTCGGCGGTGTGGCGTAAGCCCAAGAATCAAGACGCGACCGTTACTTTAATGCGCGGTGTTAAAATCACAGGACTGGCGTCCTGGCACGACTCAGGTTAGTCAAGAGTTAAAATGCCACAGTCAGGTTGACTCGTGGCGTTGAAATCCAGAAGGTGATGCTCTTGCACGCTTCAAGATATTCGCACGGTTGTCCCCCAACGTGGCACACCCGTCAGTGGTAATGAATCCTTGTTGGGGCCCATGCAAATGAAGCTTGGAGGGATGGTGTATTCCAAAAGCGTTACTGAGTCTTGGGTTTGCGCTGGACCTCCTCCTCGTCCTCCTCTTCATCCTCCTCCGTCTCCTCCTCCTCCTCCTCCTCCTCCTCCTCCTTCCCCTCCCCCTCCTCCTCCTACTCCCCTCCTCCCCTTACGCCTTTTCCTTGTCATGCTCCTGCTCCTGCTCCTCCTCCCTCTCCTCGTCCTCCTGCAGGCCCGGTGGGATCCGAGTCCGTGGGGGCCCGCCTTCTTCCTCCTCCTCCTCCTCCTCCTCCTCCTCCTCCTCCTGCTGTCGCTGACGCTGTCGCTGTCGGCCTCGAAATTCGGATCGAACGCGGCGGTGCCCCCCCCCCCCCAGGGGCGATTGCCCCTGGGGGGGGGGAAGGCCCCTGGGGGGGGTCGAGCACCGTGGAAGGTACGGTCAGACGCGGCAGTGCCCTCCTGGAAGACGGGGCGAGCGCGGCGGTGCCCTGGGGCCTGGGAGGATCGAGCGCGGCGGTGCCCCAGCTCGGATCAGACGAGCACTGTGACAGGGAAAAGGGTGACAACGAGGACAGGAGGAGAAACCCGAGGGCCTGGGTGGGGTGGCTACGTTCCAGGGCCGCCCCTGGGGGGGGGGGAGGAGGATGAGGCCAGGATCAATCTTAAAGAAGAGGGGGGAGGAGTAGGGGCGAGGCGGCAGTGAGGTTGGCGGCGCTGCGTGTGTCTGTCGACTGGCCGTGGCCTCCGAATGCCGTGAGCTGAAAGTCCTTCTGCTCCGCCTCCGCTCCTCCTCTGCCTGCCTGTGCACAGCGGCCGTTGAGACAATGGCATGTTATCGTGCGCGGGGTTTGTGAGCAAGCGTGTTTCTTATTGTAAGACTGGCACTCCTCAAGGCATTCCCAAGATACCCTTCCTGCTGATCTTCCTGCCTCTCCTGTTCCTCCTCTTTCTGCTCCTCCACATCCTCATGCTTCCGTGAAGCCAACGTCGCGTTGTTCTCCAGCCGCGTCTTCAAACTGAGACGCTCAGGGAGGCTGTTTCGGGGAGAAGCATCGGTCTGCGATCGGCGATTACCTCGCCGGTGGATCGGCGACAGGCCCCCCATGGCGACTCCGCTCGCTCCTGGGCGGGGCGGGCTGTCAGGCCAGCTTCGGCGACCCATGGGCGATTGGGGGTCGAGGCATCCCGCCCTGGGCCTATCCCAGGGTCCTGTTTGGGTCTCTTTTCGGGCCTTTCGCGGGAGGAGGAGGAGGAGGAGGAGGTGGAGGAGGAGGAGGAGGAGGACGAGGAGGAGGAGGAGGAGGAGGGGAGCGGGAGGAGGCGGAGGAGGAGGAGGAGGTGCGAGGAGGAGGAGGAGCTGAGGAGGAGGAGGAGGACGAGGAGGAGGAGGAGGAGGAGGAGGAGGAGGAGCGAGGAGGGACGAGGAGAGCGCCGAGCTCCGACGACAGGATGTGTTCGGTCGGCGCATCTTCCTCGACCTCCGCCCCTGGGGCCGGTGGTCGGACCACGGAGCCATCGGAGATGGGAGGGCATTGGGGCCGCTGGTCGAGAAGCATCCTCCTCCTCCTCCTCCTCCTCCTCCTCCTCACTCCTCCTCCTCCTCCTCCTCCTCCTCCCTCCTCCTCCTCCTCCTCCTCCTCCTCCTCCTCCTCCTCCTCCTCCTCCTCCTCCTCCTCCTCCTCCTCCTCCTCCTCCTCCTCCTCCTCACTCCTCCTCCTCCTCCTCCTCCTCCTCCTCCTCCTCCTCCTCCTCCTCCTCCTCCTCCCCCTCCTCCTCCTCCTGTCGGAGGATGTCAGGGAGTGCGGTCAAGACGTCGCCATGAGAGCGCCTGCCAAGGACTGCTGTATCCCTGCCCCCTTGCGCTGTGGTCAGAGACAGCGGCGGGTCGTGCGTTGCCGGTCGTGGCCTCTGGTGGCCCTTCCGAAACGTCCCAGGATGAGAAGATGGTCCCGGGAGCAACGATGGGAAAATCACGACGCTCGATGTCTGCGATGGGCCTCTTCGCCCAACGCCCTGCTACTAGAGCAACAAAACAGCACAGCAACATATAGTCATTGACTGTCGGAGCTCCGCGCGGATGTCTTGGATCGGCGCTTGAACCCGGAGCGCACCAGGGCTCCAGCGCAGATCCAAGAAAGCCGCACGGAGATCCGAGAAAGTAGGTTTAGGTCGGGCATGTCCCCCTACAGGCTGATTTGGGGTGAAAAGTTAAAATACTCCAAAAAGAGTCCCCCCAAAAAAACATCGTCCCAAACCTATTGTTTGACTATTCTTGAACTCTTCTCCTAGAGAAGGACACGCCCGACGTAAAGTTAGGTTTACGCCGCTCTCTGTGTTCCGAACTGCGGCGCTGCAATTCTGCTGGTGGAGCCGCCCCCCCCGCGGGGTCTTCGGCCACCTCCCTCCCCAGGGCCGGCTTTTGTTCATCCCGACTCGTGTCACACATGATCCTGGGTCGAGGATCACAGGACCCCCCCGATGGGATGGGCCCAGGGGGTCCACAGACCCCCTCTCCCCAGATGGGGGATGGGAACAACGGCCACGACGACGACGCCGACGCCGACGCCGATGAAGACGACAACGAAGACGAAGACGACGACGCCGACGCTGACAGAAGAAGACGACGACGTTAAGGACGACGTTGACGACGACAACGACGACGACGACGGCGACGGCGACGACGTCCATCCTCTACCACGCCACGCCCACATGGCCACGACCACCCATGCGCAAAGGCCTCGCGAGGCTCGGGGTCGTACCTACATCCAGCGGGTGGGTGGGGGCCGATCCCAGTAGCTTTGGGGGGGGGCTGGAGCCCTGGCTCATATATACATATATATATATATACACACAGATGTGTGTATATCAGACACTTGTACATATCATAAATACAGAAGGTTGCATCGATCTATGAATCGATACTCCTATGATGTACGGGTATGCATATAGGCATGTCTAGCCATTCCGGGGCCATAAAACGGCCTCCAGAGGCCGAGCGAACAAAACCCGCCGTCGCGATGTGACATTGGCATTCCCAGATCTGCGGCTGTGCGAGACGGGCCCTCCCGACCTCTCTCCTGCGCGGGGCGACCTGTGGCCCGTCCATCCGTGAGGGCGTCGGGAGCTGGAGCGGTGCAGGATCGCCCGCCCCGACTACTTCTCCAGACGCCGGACCCTGACGTCCAGCCATCTCCGATTCGGGGGACGTGAGACTCGGGTACGGGGGACTCGTGGTTGGCCTGACGGGGCCATCACAAAAAATTACGCGGTCCGATCTGAACTTTGACGCGAACTACCGCTGCAAACATCGCATGAACACTAGACAGTCAAAATCCAAAACGAACTCGTCAAAAAATGTTGGCAAACCCGGATTCCGGCTTACTCGAGTCTTACGTTTCCCCGATCGATGTGTTCGATGCGTGGCCCCCCGGACCTCTCGACCCCTCCTCCCAGACTTTCTGCTCACCCGTTACCCCTTCGCAGCAGCCGGTATCCGGGTGCCCAAGACCGTGACAGACTCAGCGCGCGCCTCGACTTGTCCGAGGCTTTTCGAGTGTCTAGGGATGTCACGGCTGCTGAGATGAAGGGCTTCCCAGATGGGGTCGGATGAGCAGATGTGAGGGGCAACGGTAGGGGGGGACTGGCGAAGGGGGGGATGTATCGACCTGGCATCGGCGATACACCCTGCGAAATGCTTAAGAAATCATGGGTTAAGAAATTCATGGTCTCAGAACTTGAATGAAAAACCAAATATTCTATTCAAATCTTAGGATTTGCATTGAAACAGTAAGAATAATCGAGACTCTGGCGGAAACCTTACGTTTTCTTAAGCATCGCCTAAGGTGTAGGGGGGACTGGCGAAGGGGGGGATGCATCGACCTGGCATCGGCGGTACATCACCAGTAGATCGGCGACAGACCCCCGATGGTGAATCTCCGCACCTCGCTGTGAAGGTTGAAGGCTATCGGGCCACCCTCGGCGATCCATGGGCGATTGGGGGTCGATGCACCCCCCCTATGGCTATCCCCCCCTTCTCGTTGTCCCCGAAGCTGTGGTCGGAGGATCGCGCCGCATCGTCGATGATGCATCGGCACAGCATCGGCGACGTCGGCAATGCATCGGCGACGTCGGCGTGCAGGAAAACAGGATCCACGTCGAGCCGCACCGCCAACGCGTCGGCGATGCGGCGCGCTGCGGCGCGGTCCTCCGACCTCCTCTGCTCTTCGAGTCGAGATCGAATACAGAATGAAGATACCCCAACAGTATCACCAATACCAACAAGATTGACATTAAGTTACTCCCACACTGGCAATGAAATTACTCCAACATTGCATTAAGTGCATCGGCTCTCTGGTAACGAGAAAGCAGGAAGGCAGCTCCGTCGACCTGACGCAAAAAAAAACGGCGCTGGGGCCAATCGCTTCTGCAGCCGATCTCCTCTTCGAACTCCGGCCCCGTCCCGCGAGGCCTGGATCAGCGGCGAGCCCCAGAACGAACGAACGAACGAACGAACCTCCACCGTCGCGCAGGAGCGCGTCCCTGGGGGCATGCGCGCACTGGGCCGCAGCCCTCAGAAATTCATGCGCACGTAATATTATGTCGGGCGTGTCCCCCTACAGGGGGATTTTCGACAAAAATAAAAAGTACCCCAAAAATACCCACAAAGGCAAAACAAAAATATTAAACAAATAGTCCCCAGACTATCTTTGGACTATTTGGGGGGTATCTTAGTTTTTCGTGGAAAATCCCCCTGCAGGGGGACAGGCCCGACATAAACGTAATAATCGGCGTCCACCAACAGGGCGGGGACCCTGAGGAGGGGGGTGAGTTCGATCCGCTGGTGCATCGAATTTTCGAGAAAAAAAACGACGTCCCCCGCGCGCCCCGACTGTCGACGCCTCTCGGGCTCCGGCGGCGGCCCGAGACCTCGCTCTGCACCGTTCTTCGGCGGCTCGATGCGCCAGCGGACCGAGCTCCCCCTGCCCCCTGCCCCCCCCCCCCTTTGCGAAGTCCCGAAATAAGTTCAGCGTGTACAAGAATATTTCTCCCAGTCTTTTCCACAGATGTGGACGAGCAGGAGGAGGAGGAGGAGGAGGGGGAGGAGGAGGAGGAGGAGGAAGAGGAGGAGGAGGAGGGGAAGGAGGAGGGGGAGGAGGAGGAGGAGGAGGAGGAGGAGGAGGAGGGAGGAGGAGGAGGGGGAGGAGGAGGAGGAGGAGGAGGAGGAGGAGGAGGAGGAGGGGAGGAGGAGGAGGGGGAGGAGGAGGGGGGTGAGGAGGGGGAGGAGGTTTGCAGGGGGGGGGGGGGCAGGAGGGAAGTGAGGGAGAGGGCGGGCCTGCTCGCACGGCTCGGCGGGCCTCGCTCGGGCCCTCCTCGGGGCCTTCCCCGAGGACACCGGAAACCTCTCCGAGGCCCTGAGTGACGGGCCTGTTTCCCACCACCAGCACCACCACAAGCTGGAGGGGGGAAGGAGGTGGAGGACGAGGAGGAGGAGTAAGAGGAGGTGGTGGTGGAGGAAGACCCCCAAAGAGCCTCTCCGAGGGCGCGACATTAGAAGAAGAGAGAACCACATGAACATGAGCTCTTGGCGCTCCGCGCGGATTTCTAGTATTCGCGCTGGACCCCTCTCCCTGGCTCGCGGAGCGCAGGGGGGGGGGGCCAGGCGCGAATCCAACAAATCCGCGCGGAGCGCCAAAAGTGTCTGTTTCCCACGTCGGTGTGGCTCGAGAGGGCCACGAGGCCTCGGTGCGCCTCTCTCGGGGGCTCGGCTCGTGGAGCGAGCATCCCCCCGCTCTTGCTCGGGAAGGCCCATGCTATCGCGAAGGGCTCCCAACTTTGCGCTTCGCGCTGCGCGCAGCGCGAAGTGCGAATTACCTCGCGCTCTCGCGCCGCCTCCCAGGGGAGAAGGGGAGGATGAGGAGGAATCGGAGCCGAACCGCGAAGCGCGAACAACTTCGCGCCCTCGGGGGCGCCCTTGCGGACGCCCACTCTCCCCGGGGAGGTTGTTCGGCCTCGCCGCCGACATCTGGCAGGCTTCGAGGGATGGTGGTGTGCGCCGCGCTCCCAGGCAGCCGCCAGGACGCCGCGCGGCACGGGCGCTGCGCAGGGCTTGCGGCTTACCCTGTCGGCCCACAGGAAATTCAGCGCAGAGAGCCCCATGAACCAAGGTAGGGGCGTTCTTGTTGGGGGGGAGAATCGAAAAACTACCGATACCGCTACTCCTCGGACATCTGCTGGGGTGCGTTCCGACGAAGATTGCGAAGCGAATCAAGCGCTGGCGACGAGGGCCTCTTCGAGAAAAAAAGGAAAACTGGTAAAGGGCAGCGGTAGGGATACCTTCCCAGACATCCAACCGCTCCCATTATTCGATGCGTGGGCCCTGGAGGTCTGCACCACGTCTGCGCCGTTTTTCGACGGTCCCGAAGCCCGGCGAGGGCCCCGAGAGGCCGAAAAAACGGCCCAAGCCCGAGCTCCATTCCTCGTTGGAGCGTCGGACCTCTGGACCGACTCGAGCCCTCCTCTGATCTCCGCGCGCCCCTGACCACGTGGAAGACCCAGCGTGCTGGCGGCGTGCGCCGCGAGGAGGAGGACGACGACAACGGCGGCGACGACGAGGACGACGACGACGACGAGGACGAGGACGACGACGACGACGACGAGGACGACGACAAGGACGACGACGACGACGACGACGACGAGGACGACGACGAGGACGACGACGAGGACGACGACGACGAGCCCGCGCCTCTCGGGGGCCCTCGGGCCCCGCGCGCGCGCCGCCTCCCAGCGCTCCTCTGGAGGAGCACAGCTGCGCGCGCGGGAGTACGGCATATTTAACATGCAGCACCGGGGGCGCGCCGCGCGGGGCACTCCGCGCTCGCGGGGGCGCTCCCCCCAAGGGGGGGGGGGAGGGGACAGCGGAGGAGGCGGAGGAGGAAGCGGAGCCGCGGCGCGCAGCGCGAGGAACTCCGCGCCCTCGCGGGGGCGCCCCTGCCGACGTGCCTCCCGAAAAGGGGCGCCCACGAACGGGACTTCTGGGAGCGCGGCGCGACGCGCGAGGCCCGGCGGCGTGCGGCGTGGAGCTGTCACCGTCGTGCGGCGGTCGTGCGCGCGAGGCCCGGCGGACTTGTGAGGTCGGCACCGCCCGACTCAGAAGTCCCTTTCCTGAAGGGGCCCTGGGACACACAAACAAATACACACAACAAAACAACAAGATTCCCCATATGTTCATATATTTTCTGGGTGTTGTCTTCCCCCCCACTTCCCATATTTTCCCATATTTCCCTGGGGGTCGACGATGAAATGTGCCTGTGTGTTTTTTCCTCTCCTGATTGCCCTGGGATCCTACTCGGGGCCACCTGCAGCACATGCGGGAGCACGGCAACTGCGTCGTCATTCTTCGGTCGGCGCCGCACCCGCCTCCATGGAGGGGCAGCGATAGGGTGGGGCTGGCACCGGGGGGGGGGCGGGGAACTCCAGATGGAATCGGCGGTACACCGCCGATGGGTCGGCAACAGGCCCTACCTCGCTAGGCGAATGCTCGCGTTCCTGGGCGGGGTGAGGCCATCAGAGCCCCATCGGCGATCAGTGACCGAGTCGGGGTCGATGCATCACCCCTTATGCCTATCCCCCCCTTTTCGTTGCCCCCGCCCTCCACACACCACAGACGGCAACTTCCTGCGCCGCCCCTAGAATCGGGGGGGAGGGGAGGGAGGCAAGGAGGGGGGGGCACAGCGCAGACCCGAGAAATCCGAGCGCCCCCAAAGCCGCCGCCGCCCCTTTTACTTGTACGTGGGCATGTGTAAGAGAGAATGGGTTTCGTGGACGCTTGCCTTGGACAAAGATTTGGACACGTCACGTGGGAACTGGGGGGGGGAAGCAAAACATGTGGCGCCCCTGGACAACCACCCACCACCCCCCAGACGCCGGCGTCCGTTCAAGGGCCCCCCTCTCTCCAAGGGGCGGCGGGGTCCGAACCGTGGCTCCACCCCCCTGTCCAAGACACGCCGCGCCGCCCACCCCTGAGTTGCATGGGAAGGGAGGCAAGATTCGAACAGGGGAAATACCCCCCCTCCCCCCTGTGCAAGGGAGGAGGGGTTCGAAACACCCCCCCTATAGAATTCTCACTAAAACTCGATCCATCTCCGGTCGAATCCCACTCTGCTGGATCCAACTTTGACAGCATCATACTCGGGCTCGGTCCTACCCTCGAATAAAAAATTTAGTGTAGCTAGATCCAGCTCTGACCAAATCCTACTAATGTTCGACCATTCTCCGGTTGAATCCTACTATAGCCAGATGGCCCCAAGATGGCCCAAGAGGCCCCCAAAAAGCTCCAAGAGCGCTCCAAGAGGACCCCCAAGAGGGCCCAAAGAGGCAAAATCCATGGATGTCCGTCGTGTTCTTCAGTGGTGTTCCCATTCTTGCGTTTTCGGGCCTCCGCTGCTCCAAGATATAGCCCCAGAGGCCCCCAAGACGGCCCCAAGACGGCCCCGGAGACCCCCAAGAGGACCCAAAACAGTCCAAGAAGGCCCCAAAACAGCCCAAGAGGCGCCTACGATCGCCCGAGGGCCCCGAGACTGCCCACGAAGGAGGAACACGAACCAACAATTCGAGCCTTCCGCACCGAGAGGCCCACGAGGCCCCAAGACGGCCCCCAAGAGAGCCCAAGAGGCACCGCAAGAGCCCCCCAAGAGGCCCCCAAGGGGCCAAACAATAGACCCGAAGAGGCCCCCAAACAGCCCCCAAGAGGCCTCAAAACTGCCTCCAAGAGGCCCCCGAAAGGCCTCCAACGATATCCAAACGAAGATCCAAGAGGCATTTAACCCACAACCCAGGCACGATTGCGGAATAGGCCGAAGGCCACTGTTATACATATATCTATATGTGTGTGGAACTCGCTTGACGCGTGCATATTGTGAATGCGTTCATGACGTGTACAACTCTGTATGCATGCATGAGTACTTCAGTCAACATGTACCTATACGACCGCCCTGCGGGCGATAAGGAGGTTGGGGGGGGGGATTGAGATCAAATGCCCACGCTGACTGACCTCCAGCCGGTCACCTTGACCTCATCTCTCTCTTTCTCTCTCTGTGTCTCCCTCTGTCTCTCGCCCTCTCTCTCTCTCTCCCTCTCTATCAGAGTCTCCCTCCACCACAATGATGATCGCAATGACGATGAGATCCCACTATCTACCTGACCGTCGACCGACCTATCGGTGAATCTCACTGTCGATCTCTCAATCGACCTCAAAAGCAAAATGAGAAAGCCCGTCGCAAGCCCAGAAAAAAAACAATTTGTTGCCGGACAACCACAGGACAACCATCGGCACAACCACCAGACAACCATCAGGACAATAACAAGACAACCACGAGACAACCATCGCATACTAGGTAATCTCTGCCTCTCTCTCTGGATATGATAAGATGGATTGGATTGGCCAGCCGCAGGCCCAAAAGACCAATGAATTGGTGGATTGGGTTGGGTGGATTGGATTGGGTGGGATAGGTTAAGATGGGACAAGATGGGGTGGACAAGATAAGATGGATTGGATCGGACAAGCTGGATCGGATAATCCAGAAGCCGCATTAAAGTGATCATTTGTTGTTTTGGCCCCCCCTCTGTCACAGAGGGGGTCTGAGATGCCCCCCCTCTGTCACAGAGGGGGTCTGAGATGCCCCCCCTCTGTCACGGAGGACCTCGTTCTGGGTGCTCTTCTGCCACGGGAGCTCCCGATGCGATTGGAGACGATAAAATGCGATAGCGGGATGGGGGATTGGAGGGGGAGGGAGAAGAAAACGATGAAGGAGAGGAGGCCACGACAGCACCGATGAAAGCACCGATTCTTTTTCCTTCTCCGCTCGGGCAGCAGTCGCCGAGCACGACGGCGCGCGCGAGTCGCCGCCGCTCACGATGCATTGGCAAGGCCTCCGCTGCTGCGGAGGGTCGACGTTCGGCCGATGAGGCCTCCCTCCGCTGCTGCGGAGGGGCGGCTCCTGTGCGATGGTTCAACTAAGCTTTTCCCAGGGATTGGTTTCGGGGGGGGGTTCGACCCACCTCCAAGTCGTGGTCGCGACCTCCCAGTGCCCCTGGCCGCTACTCCACCCACTGCGGCTGCTCCACCAGTCACTGGGGCGTTGGTCGCTGCCGAATGCAACTTGCATGTCGCGCCAGGCGGAGTCGACCATGCGGTCCTGCAGCGAGGAAGCCTCGCCGCTCGGCTGTTGCCACTCGCGCTCCTCGCCCTCCTTGGTGCGCCACCACTCATCCCTGCGCCACTCCTCGTCTGTTGGTTGCTGCCGTGGCGTTTGTGGCCTCCGCTGCTGCGGGGGCTCTGGCGGCTCGTGGCCGAGGGCAGCGATCGCGTCCGAGATGTAGATGGCGGCGCCGCGCTGCCCTCGCTGCTCCAGCGGCGCAGGCCCTGGAGATGGGCACTGCGGGGTCGGCTGCCACCTGGGGGGTGATAAATAATTATTTCTATATCCCCTCCCTGTCAACTCCCGCCCCTTCCCGACACTCATTTCCTTATGTCATCCCTCGTCCTGCTCAGCCTATTCCTCATTCCCTCTCCTCCCTCCTGCCCTCCCCGTGCTCCACCGCCCCTCTCCCCCCCTCCCCCTTTCAACCCCCCGCCGCGACCTTCCATCGCCAGCCGCGGGCATGTCGCGGCCGTCGTCCGCGCTTTCGTCTGCCCATCTTGGTGGGCGCCACGCCTGTTGGGCGCGCTCGTCTTGCTCGTCCCTCTCGCTGTGCTGCTCTGGTGCCTGGCGCTCGGGTCCGTGCTGCTCGGGCGGCAGCGGCGCCCTGAGCGCAGCTGCCAGCTGTTTCTGGGCGCGCCTGTCTTTCTTCTCTTTGGCTCTCTCCTGCTTCCTCCCCGGCGAACGCACGCTGGCCATGCGCATTTGGAACAGGAGAGGGTAGTGGGCGCCGCCGTGCCAGCGCCCCTCCACCTCCACGGTCTCTGGCGGGAACGTCTTCTGCAACGCGCGGAAGAGGGTCACCTCGCGATTACTAGAGAAGCGGTGGTCCCCTCTAGCCTCAGCCTCGGCGCGCCTCAGTTTCTCACTCTCCTTCTCTTGGATCTTGCGTTGGCATTCCTCTGACTGAGTCAGTAAATCCTGGAGGTGCTCGCGGGCGTCTTTTTTCGGGTAGTAGCAAGAGTAAGGCATCCCAGGGCCTCCGTTCTGGCTGTGGTGCCAGTACGTCGGCTGCGATGATGGGCTGGTGGCGGCCCCCGCTGCTGCGGGGGCCTCTGCCTTGCTTCTGTTACGGTGCCCGATCTCACCGATCACCGACTTGCGTGCGAAGAGCAACCCCGTCTCGTCTCTGTCGTGCACGGCGCTCAGCGGCCAGCACAGGGTGTACTCGCCAGGCCTGTTGAGAACGAAGATGCCGCAGCTGTCCAAGCACGGAGTGCCGTCCAATCCGCGCCAGAAGTACGCTGCTGCCGTCTCCAATCGCACGCCTAGACCCCGAAGACTCGGCAGCGTCTGTGTGAGCGCCATGTTGAAATCCCCACAAAGGATGTCAACGCTGTTGTCCTGCAAGATGGTCGCCAACCTCGGCCACCACGTCTTGTGAGCCTCGTTAAAGCCTCTGGAATTTTTCGCCGTGTCGCGGTGGAGGTGCACCGCGCGCGCCCGCACTTTCGAGCCGAAGTGGGCGTAGGTTTGATCGAAGTAGAGCTCAACCACCATGATCCTCGAGAACGCTTCCATCTTGCGCCCTCTTGCTGTTCTGTAGTGGCCGTCGACACTCCTTTCCCAGTGGAGCAGCCGCATTTCGTAACA